GAGATGTATGCTTATGAGGATGTAATCATTGAAATTGAGACGTGGTTATTTTATGGAGTGGGGAGGTAACAATGGTTGTGGGGAACATTGTAGTTGATAAAGGAAATGGTAAGACTATATTCCTAAGATTAGAGCTAGAGCAAGGGGCATTAGACTGAGTAGTAGTTAACTCATATGAAGAAGAGTAGTAAAAGTATGAGATTAATTCATTAGTTTCCATGGATGAATCTATCCTTTTCTTTTTTTTCTTTTTCCTCTGATATGTTTCAGACTCTTGAATCATGCCATTTATGGCTGATCTTTTCTTGCTAGATAGATTTTTGTCTGGTGGAAAGAGATGCGTCTTCTCTTCTTCACTATCTTCTTCCATAATGAAGTTTCTAAAAAGAAACATTACCCTTATGCTTTTATTTTGATTATGGATTGTGAACTGAGGAGTTTTTCTTGGTAGACTAACGTTCATAGCCTTTTCTTCAGGTGGTTTGGATGCCTTTTCCAGAATTCCCATCTCTACCAAGTTCACAGAGTTGAGGGGTTCACCAATGGTCATCTTAAGATATTTTTCATCCAGATCTCTCAGATCAATACTCTCAGTGATGATACTGGATAAGAGTCTTCCAAGAGGAATATAACTCTTCATTATGTCACTTCCATCTCTAGTCATTCGTACATTATCTCTCAGATGATGGAAAATAAGATATGGGAGATTTATACGAACGCCTAAGAAAATGAAGTACAATATGTATAACAGATCTCCAGGAATAATCAATGCATGCTTCCTTTTTGGTACTTGGATTATTGATGATTCAAAGATTTTGGCCCAGATTCTTAGATAATCATGAAGACCATCAATCTTCGAGGCTTTTTGTGATTTGAAGATGACTTGATAAACTTCTATCATTTCCGACCATAGACTGTTACTTCATAGCACCTTATTCCTTTTCGATGAAGATTAAGAACTTTGGAGATGATTTGTTCAGTGATGATAATTTTCTTCCCTTTAACAAATGACACTACTTGGAAGGTTGATGACTTAGCATGTAGCCAGAAGTCTTTCACAAGGTGAGGAAGAAAGAGTCCATTGAGAAGGTTGAAGTAGTTTTCCCACCCTTGGTTTGTAACATAAACCAATAGATCAAAGCCATTATCTTTGATGTTTTGAAAATCTACGAAAGGTTCACAAAGAACTTTTAAAGAGTCCAAATATGTAGTCAGAGTAACTTCAGGAGTATCATATGGTTGTTCTTCTATACTCTCTTGATCATTCCCATGTAATAAAGAGAGAAGATGAGGAAAAGGTTTGTGGTTATGAGGTGAGAGCCTTTCGAGAGAAATTTTGTTCTGAGAGTTCATAACTGATTTTGGAAGTTTAGGGTTTGAAATAGAAATTGGGGAAGCGATGAAAGAGGGGAAGATTATTTAAAAGACATATAAAGATAATTTTGGAAACGTGTACGCAAGGAAAGTAAAGATCACCTATACATGTTTTCTAGAAGACGATATAGCGCATGCTGTGATATATTACGATGCAATGAAGAGACAACACAAATAATTGTCTAATCTAAACAGTATTTTAAATAAAATAAAAATAAGAGAGAGAGAGAGAGAGAGAGAGAGAGAGAGAGAGAGAGAGAGAGAGAGAGAGAGAGAGAGAGAGAGAGAGAGAGAGAGAGATAGAGAGAGAGAGAGAGAGAGAGAGAGAGAGAGAGAGAGAGAGAGAGAGAGAGAGAGAGAGAGAGAGAGAGAGAGAGAGAGAGAGAGAGAGAGTTTAGATGACACCTATTGACGCTTTATGAGGTCTGATTCTAGATCCTTCTTAATATATTCTTTGAAGGTCACTAAATTTTATTCCATTTATACTTCTGAGAGCTTGTAACTTCTTTGTCTATAGTTGATCAATCTAGAGTTCTGTTTTATGTTTCTGATTCTTCATTTTTGCTTGAATTCCTTTGAGCAGATATCTTTAAGTAGATATTCCTTCTTTAGATCTTGAAAAGAAGAAGCTTCTAGATTATCATCTTTTGATTTCTTAACTTCTTGTTCTTCAGTAGCTACTTTATTTTCGTCAGATTATGAAAGTAGTTTTCATATATTCCTGAGTTGTTCTGACTTGTTCTGCTCCCTGGTGGATGACATATTCTCCTTTTGACTCCCAATTATTCTGGTGATCCTGAACGTTTTACTGAACATAAGATTCTTTTGCACAAAACTTCTTAGAAGCTTTCAAGCGACTTCTCCTTCTGTTTAGAGTGCATAATTTTGAGAAGCTTTGGTCTTCTTAGAGTTCTTAATGGATATTCCTGAGATGACATTGATTAGATCCATTACAGCTTGCAGCGGTTTATCATTTGGATGAGAGCTTCAGTTGATGAGTTAAAGCGCTGATTATTGACCTTTACTTCTGATGGAGAACTTATGTTGTTTGAGAAGATTAATTCCCTTTCCATCAGGTCCTTGAGCCTTCAGAATCCTGAGAACTTGTTTTAGAGATTCTGTCTTCATATTTCTGATTCTTACCCAGAGTTTTGAATCCTCTACATAATGGGTTTTGAATCTGAAAAGCTTTCTATCATTTGAGTAGCAATAAGCCATAAAATTTTCTCTTACTGGATATCTCTACATGGTTAAGTGTTTTATTCTTGAATCAATAACAGAGCCGGGCTCTGATAACAATTGAAGGTAGAGAAAACTTAAAAAAAGGGGGTTTGAATTGGGTTTATAGAAAACATTCCCCTTTAGAAATTTTGGGCACTCAAATGATAATAACAATAAAGACACTGAAGAGTAAAGGACACAAGTGATTTATCCAAGTTCACCTTAAACAAGGTTAATCCTTTCCACCCCTTCAAGGATGATTTTTCCTTCAACAAGGACTTAATCCATTATAACCAAACTGATTACAAATGCACAGGCAACAACCAGTGACTAACACACAATGACACGTTCAGTGATCCAACGAAATATAACGTTCATTGAACCAATAAGATCAGATCAACATGATCTGTTACCAGGATTTCTCCATAATGATATCCATAAGTGATCTCTTAAGAATTTTGACCTTCACTTGGCCCTCTAAGAGATATGACTACCATTTACCCAACAAAATCCAATCACTTAAGATCTCCTATCAGGATTTCACTACAATGACTAGTAACCATTGTCTTCTTGAGATTTGACCTTCACTTAGTCTCTCAAGGAACCTTTCAATGATATGTTTAGTGATCTGATTTAACGAATATAACAATCATTAACCCAATAGAATCAAATCCCTCAAGATCATCTATCAAGATTTCCTACAACGACCAACAACCATTATCTTTTTGAGATCAGACCTTCACTAAGTCTCTCAAGGAATCAATCAACAATAGTTGATAAGGTTTATGTGTTTACATGTTTGCTTCTCCTAAGAAGATTACACAAAATATTTAAGCACATATTGTTTAACACATTTTCGAGCAACAACTCTAGTGTTAAAACAATTTACATGACAAGATTCGAACTATAACACAATACGAGCAACAACTCTTGTGTTCATTAAAATGTTCTATCAAGATGTATTTGATCAGATGTTGAGTAGCATCTTATAGTGTTCTTCTTCTTCATCTTCTTGTTGAGCAAATTACGAGCAACAACTCCTTGCTTCTTCTTAGATATACCAATATGTATATGATGATAGTTGGTTAGCATCTTGTAAAATCTTCTTCTTCATTGAGCAAGTTACGAGCAATAACTCATTGTTTCTTATGTTTCATCCAAGATGTATATGATGATTAGTTGAATGACATCTTGTTGAAATATTCTTTCTCTTCTTCTTTCTTTTTTCTCTTCTATGGTGGTCTTCAGAATGTGCAGCGTTGCAACTTTAACATCTTCAGCATCCATAAAATTTTAGCTTGATGGCCAACAATAACTTTTTCTTTGAATCTTTGATGTTATTTTATAGCCTTGAAAGAGAGATACGTTGTGAGGATAGAAAAGTCTTTTCCTGCACCAATGATTAGTTCCCAATAGATAAAATAAGGTGTAAGAGTTTAGATAGTATAAAATAATATTTTATGTATCCTGTCACTGTTTAATGATAGCTTTCTACCTTTTATCTGAATAATGCTTTTCTAATAAGCTCGTAAACAGAGATCTGTTAAGTAAAGAAAGATAGTTGGAAATCCAGCCGTTTGTTCTCAACGGTCACAATGAGTGTGGTTGACAATACAGTACAAAGGACTGTCCTTATGCCACCCTATAGGGTAGAGGTCACAAACACTTTATATACCTTTTGTAAACCATTGCACGTTAACCATTTGAACTTTCTTCTTATCTTCAGAAGCTTCAGATAATTTTAATGTTGAAGCTTTTTGTATAAGAATGACTCTTAAGTCTTAGAACCTAAGTCTTGGAGTCTTCAAAACTTGTTCTACCATAACCTTGTGTTCAGAGTCTTCAGCACTTGGTCGTAATAACTTGCTTTTCTTCAGATCATCAGAACTTGTTCAGCAGAACCTCGTCTTCATAATCTTAAGAACTTGTAACATAAAAAATCAAAGCTTTAGAAGGCCTCCAAAGCTTAACCATAAAGTCATGATCATAACCTCTTGTACTAACGTTCCTTAGACACATTGCAGAAGATGAATTCAGAATCTTGACTTCAACTGTAACACATAACCACATGTTTTCTTATAATAGGGTATGTTCAGAACCCGATGATGTCACACGCCTTGATACTAGAGTCAGAACATTATAGCAGCAGTTAGTGTATACAATTATTCTCTAAGATAACATGTAAAGTTATCATCAAAATCTTAAGGTCAGATGTAGAAACACTTCTTGTTCTTACAATCTTTTGGTATGGTTTGGTCAAATTCTAGAATACACACTAGTTGGTTTTGTTTAGATTTGTTCTATGAAGTGAACTCACCAACTAGGTGTTTGGACAGTTCATCTATGAAAAATGGTCTTTGGATATTTTCTTGAGGCTTGGATGTTTTTAGAATCTGACTGATGGTTTAGAAGTCTGATTCATCATAATCAGAGTTAGAGATTAGTTGAGGGGAAGACATGACAAATTCTAAGGGTAAAACTATGTCAAGTTTGGGTGAGGGTGTATGTTCAGAAGAATGTGTAGGTGATTGATGAAGGGTTGGTATATGGGTTACAAATTGAGGATAGGAAGAATCTAGAACAAAATCAAAGATAAGATCCAGAATAATACTTGAGTTTACGGCTTCTGTAGCATTAGAAGCTTCAACATTTGTCTCTATTCCCATATTAGCTATTGGGGCTTGAGACTCTATAGCATCCACTGTCTATTGTAGAACCTCATCGTCATAAGTTTTCTCACCATTCTTTAGGATAGTTTTAGCAGTAGCTTATACTTCTTTGGCATGTTGCTCTATAATTTTAGCATCTGATGGCTTTTCCAAAACCTTATCCCTAAAAATAGATGCTATATTTTAGCATCTGGTTAGCTTCTTCACCTCCTTGGTCTTCCTTACAAGAGGTTGATCAGTTTCCTCTTACTCTTCTTCTTCTTCTTCTTCTTTAATGACCTCTTCAGCTGGTAGAATCATCTTCCTGAGTTTCTTCACAGGAGCTGATATGACAGATGAAGAAGTTGTCTCCAGAGGAGATTTTCCAGAGGCTCCACTTCTAATCTTGGTAGGCATCAAAACAAATGATAAGACTACCTCCCGGACTTCCTTCTAAACCAGTGTCACATCATTCTTCTTAGGTGGCTTCTGAATCTACTTCTGAGCTTCAAAAGTAGCCTATTTTCTCTTCCATGATTGAAGGCTTGTACAATTCTTCAGGTGCATCTGGTATATAACCTTTTGTCGAATTACACCAGCTTCTTCTTTGGCAATTTTAATGTACTCCAAAATCACCTCCAGGTTATCCATCTTGGAGATGATTGGGAAGTCCTTAATATAGGCTAACTTTGTGCGTGCAACTTCACTATTAGATGTTTCACATGATGTCAAAACTAGGAAAACTTAGCATTTTTATATATTGGACGAGGTATCTATTTCATGTGGCACTCCATTGCATTAGAGGTCTTAGGAATCATTTAAAACAACTTTAAAATTATTCTCAATCATGAAAAATCAGTTTCTGCATAAAATCAGCATTCATGTGTCGACCTGAAATTTGTATGTGTTGACACATAAAATCAGCATTTATGCAATTTCTTAAAAGCTTCAGTACGTGTCAACACATACGATTTATACATCGACACATGTACTGCATTATTAAAGCTTTCAACATTTCTTCTTTAAAACACATGCAAATGTGTCGACATATAGAGTTTTCAGGTCGACACATGTACTGCATTTTTAAAGCGTGTAGCTATTGTTTTGCATGTTCCGACATATAACCTTTTTAGGTAGACACGTATTGTTTTATGGGTCATTTTTTCATTCTTAAACTTCCCTCTTTTACCTAAAAAGATCCCAAATATAAATATATCATTCATGCATCATTCCAACTTGATGACACCATAAAATTAGCCTACATTTGCTCTTCATCTTCAACCTCCAATCTATCCATACACACTAACATTCCATTGTAATGATATTTTGTTGGGGTTCCATCTATAGGAGGTTTGATAATGTCCAATTATTTTCTTGTGTGGCCGAGAATATTGGGTTGGGAATTGTATGGGTCTTCATCCGGAAAAACCGCGGGTTTATCCTCCAAGATCATTGGTTGATTTGGGGGGTTTTTGTGCAAGAAGTTCAAGAGGTAATTGCATCCAAGTGAAGTTCTTTGGATATAAAGAATGCAATGGATCCTTTGGAGATAAATAATGCAAAGGAAGTAGGAGAGAGTGACATATTACAATTGATGTCTTATGGTTGCAATAGGTACAATTGATGGTGCACGAAAGCTTTGGAGATAAAGTATGCTAAGGAATAGTAAAATATAGATAATCATTTGGTAGCTATTGTGTCTTGGTCTTGTTGAAGATCAAAGGAAGAAAATGGGTTGAATTAACATCAAACGATTATGGTTTGTAGGGTTGCTGTTGAACACTTCTCTTGTATTCATATTTTTGCAAAGTAAGAAAATATCCTAATTCCACATTGGAATTGAGCGCAGACGTACCCACATGAGAGGATGAAAGTGAGGAGATGTGTAGACAAATCCTTATGTCTCTTTCCTTTCATTTTTGTACTTGCTTTAATTTTCATACATCAATTTATCAAATAGCATTGAGTAATCTATCAACGTGTAGGAATCTTCCGATATTGTTTTTGTTTTGAATTGCGTGTTGAGTTGCTTATAATCACTTTTGATTATAAGTGCTTTTTCATATCAACACAACACAAAGGAAAATTATGAAACTTTAATTCCACACCAAGTGTTTGTCAAATTTTTTAGCTTGTTCAACTCAAAAGAAAATTGCAATGTTCTATCTCTTACTGTCATTTACTTTTTATATGCAATTTTTTTGAATGTGTTGTTTGATTGATCAATTCATATAGAATTTTTCTTTGATTCTTAAAGATTAAATTGCTTTGTTTATTAGCTTATAATCACTTTGGTTGTAAGAGCTATTTCATATCAACAAAGCTCAAAGAAAATTCTAAAAAATTGACTGCACGCCACATGTTCGATAAATTGTCAAGTTATGTTTTTAATATGATTTCATTGGAAATAGGAAACTGTTATGTTTGATATTAAACTATTAATTGAGATATTATTATGTTGATTTATTTTATCATTATCTTAATTCTATATGGCTTGTGCCTATCCGAGTTTCCAATAACTAGGTTCGTTTAGACTACTTTATTGATCTAGGCCAAAAATCTTCCGCTCAATATTGTTTTTCAAATAAGTTTTTAAGTAACCATTTTGAAAGTAATTTTTATTTGGGGATCTATTCACCCTCCCTCTAGATAATTCATCGTAGTCTAACAAGCTTGGCACTTCTGATTCTAACTCCTGCTTCTGGTTTCACAACGTACTTCTTTCTGATAATCTTCATGTTACATAGAACGTCAACAAATAAGATGATTCCTCCAAATCTTGAGTAGCACTAACTTCCTTTAGATTCTCAATCAATGTATTCGAATGGAATAGTTCTGAAAAAAGTATAGCATAAGGTACATTCTTCTTGTCATTCTTGTGACTTTCCTTTATAGGATCACATAGATGATTGAAGATGTAGGTAACAAGATTAATCTTTTCTCCATTTACCAGAAACTAGATAAAGTTCCTATGATCCCTTGAAATCTGATCAGTGCTGCCTTATCTAAGAATTAGACATCTAATTAAAATTCTTAAGAGAAGTCTAAATGAAATGTGCATATTCTTCACCTTGCCAAAATCTTGAGAGTTGAGAAACAATTCAGAATTGATCTACTTGGCTTCTTTGTCGTTATCTTTGGTGTTAAGAACACACCTTCCTTCATTTACTACTCCAATAAGTTGAGCAATATGGCTTCGAGTGATTGTTACATCAATACCCATCACTGCAGACCTGATCTCCACTTCCTTAAACTCATTCAAACCTAACTCATCCCTTGTTTTCCCTTTGTTAGCTTCATCTGCATCAATCTTTTGTCTTAGTTCAGAAGCAGCAACAACTTCCTCAAACACTTCTACCCTAACCCAAAAATACTTTACTAGATAGGGATAAGTAGGTCCATTGGTTATTTCTAAGTAAAGCATCGATAAGTGAAAATTATAGCTATTTTTGTATATACTTTTTGTTGCACTTATTGACTTTTTGTTGTTAGTATCAGTTGAATAAACTCGACTTTTGTGTAAATACATTTAGTTTGTGTTTATTTGTGTTTTTGTGTACATAGTGTATCATTTGATGTTTTTTCATTCATTTTGTAGGTATTTTTTGCGTTTTGGAGCATAGAGGAATAAAGTGTCAAAGGCACGGCTCCGAATGCGCGTTTTTAGAATAAAAGACCAGTTTTGGGAAGTTCTGTCTAGGAGATCCCACTTAGCACGCATAAGGTCGCTAAGCGCGAGTGCGCTCAACTCATTTTGTAGCGCACTACTTGCATTTTAACATTTTAGCAAAAGCATTGTTTTGAAGCCCGCTTAGCGCGGATATCGTACTTAGTGTAGTTTCGGTCGGTTTGATGTGTAAAATAAAGAAGTCGCACTTAGCGCGCCAGGCCCTCTTAGCACGGTCTGCTGAGATTTGTTTTATAACTTGAGATTTAGTTAATTTTTAGGTTATGGTTTTGGGGATTTTTTTGCTCCCAACTCCATTAACCTTTAATTTTGTTAGGATTAGCTTTGATAACAACTATGGAGCTTGCATAGGGATGATCCGGGGTGGATTGCTCTTCGATCGATGTTGACAAACCGGTAGATTTGCAGTTCATTTCTCTTTTTCTCTGTGTATTATCTATTGGTTGGGTTTGTACCTGTATTTAATTTGATCTTATGTATATTTTTCACCCTTGGCGTTATATAAAACTTGCTTTACAAATATTTGTCGGTTGTTATCCTTGATATATACACGTGCTAGGGATTTGAGTTGCTATAGATATATACTGCTTAGATTCTTATCTAGGATGATTATCTAATACTGTATGAATTGTAGAGATAAATTTAGTGATGTGTAATAAAGTGGGAGAACTGACTTGGTGTTTTTTTGCGTTTTATTACAAATATTGCGGTTAGCAAGAATCGCCACTGAATTTTCTTTTATCCAATAAAGGAAAGGGTGAAAAGAACAGGAAATACCTTTTGAGAATTTTTCTTGAGTTCGGGGGGTAGGTTATGAAAATGGAAGGTGTTATCACCCTTTTCATCCGTAGTTATCTACGAGCTCTTAATTGCTATCTCACTTTGAAAATGTTTTGTGTTTGTGTATGTTTGAAAATATTTTGGAAAAAAAACGCCTAAGTGCAGAAATTTTGTAATGATTCTCGTATCGTTGAGAATATATACAAAATGTTTGTTTTGAAAATATTTGTTGAAAGGGAGTGTTTGGAAAGATGTTTTAAAAATGCCAATGTAAGGAAAATTTGTAATGATTCTCGTATCGTTGAGAATGTATACAAAATGTTTGTTTTGAAAAGTATTTTGAAAATAGTTTGTTTTGAAAGTGTGAAGTGTGAAAATTGTTTTAGTTTGTGAGCAAGCGATTACGAGCGATATACCTACTCAAAAAGTCTTTGTTCTTTTCCTCATCCTTTAGATAGTGCTATCCTACAATTAGTTAGTGGGAAGCCCTATCATTGGATGTGTGAGGGACATGCGCGGGTCATTGTAGTGTCATAGAAGACAACTTGGAGTACACTTTAGCAATTATCGTAAGGGACTAATATATTTTACTGAAGGCAACATCGACGGGTCATCGAGGGACTACGATCTTTTAATCGAGGGTCTTTTCTAAAGCATCCCACGTTCGAGAGACATGACTGTTTTTATCCGAGGAAATAAGTGAGGGTACCTTAGAGGGGCGTGTGTGTGAAGTGTTTTGATTTCAGTTAATTTATCTTGGATTTATAGTTTTCTAATATTTTGTTTTAAATCTTTCCATACAATCCTATTAAGCTAACAATAATAAGGAAAGTGGTAAATTGTGGAAATTAAACATCCTACGCTATTACAATGCTTCGGGAATGGGGGTACACATTTATGAATGGGGAGAGAAGTAAAGTAAACCCTATTTTATCTATTATATCAATAG